GGCTGGTTTATAGAGGTGTAGCCTGTGTCACTGCAGCTTCCACAGGGGCAGTGTTGCCACTGCACACGCAGGGCTCCCGGGCTGATCGCACTTACGCCCGTGTGCGACTCAGCGATGCCCCCAGTGCCTGGCTGGCCGCAGTGGCACCGAGCGGAGCATGGGGGGAGGTCCGGCCCATACGTTATAATACTCCTCAGACGCCCCCGGCCCGGGAAGGCTGAGGTAGCGATGCTCAGCAGTGGGTTTGCCACCCGCGCCTCACGCCCCAAGCCCACGGGGGTAGTTAATTAGCGCCAGCACCATCGCACTGTTCCCAGGGCTTGCTGAACCCAGGGGTGGTGGAGCCAGCGGTGGAACTGGAGGCTGACGTCCGGTCAGTCCCTGCTCTGAGCCGAGACACCACGCCTTCCCAGGGATCAGACGCCAGCTTGGAGCCCTTTGGCGCCAGTTGGCACAACTCGGGTGTAGCCAAGCAGCCCCCCCTCCACCTAGAGACTCCAGCCCTTCATTATCGCCCCACCCCAAACCGTGCTACTTGGCACAACACGCCCTGGAGCTATTTATCAGCCCGCGAGCCCAGGGCCACATCAGAATCAGCATCTGGCACCGCAGCAGTGACACAACAGGGCGCGGCCTGGCCCTGCTTTCAGAGGGGCGCCTACCGGTCCCCAGTGCCCCGGGCTCATTTCCATGTAAAGAAGATCGGCCCTTGACTTGGGGTTAATCCCCCAGGACTGGCCTCCAGCGTCCGGCTGGGGAGGGTGGTGTGTGTGAAAAAGCACCAGCTTGCCTCACGGGTTCTCCTGTGCTCCCAGGCTGCGAGGCGGGGCGGTACGGAGCGAGCTGCCAGCAGCTGTGTGACTGCGAGGGACACGCACCCTGTGATCCAGTCACTGGGCGCTGCCTGTGTCCGCCCGGGAAAACGGGCGCCCAGTGTGACGTGGGTGAGTGCGGGCTAGGCGCAGCGGGCACAGCCCATGCGGCAGCGTGTGTGAGGGCGGAGGACCGTAAGGCGGGTGCACTAGCATCATGCTGCTGCCTGGGGATGTGCGTACCACAGAGAGGGGCATTTTTGTGACCTACCCTGAAGGCAGCAGACTGGGTTCGTCTTGCACCAGCCTTACTCTAATGGGCGAGGAGAACTGTGCCCTCGCTCACAGCTGTACAACACAAGGCCGAACGCTGAGCCGGCATGATGGGGAGAGATGGACCGGTCCAGGTGTTCCTATGGGCTGCAGGACCAGTCACCTCCCGGTCTCCCGGCAGTGTAGGCTATGGCCAGTCAAACCGTTAGCAGATGGGTGTCTCCATCAGTGTTCTGTGTAGACACACATGCTTGGGTGGCTACCGAGGGGTGATTCAGGGGTTGCCCAGCTGATGAGCAGCGCGCCCACAGCAGGCAGCATGTTACTACTGGTGGTGCACATCCGCACATGCATTGGTGCACAAAATAAAATTTATTCTACACACACATGGAAAAAATTTAGAAGGAACATGTGGCCCTTTCACAACACATTCCTCTAGTCTTCCTGTGGGCTGGTGTCAAGAAGCCCACAACCAAATGGACCTGGAATGCCCTGCTGGGCCCTTGAGGGCTGACAAATCCAGAAGTGAAGGGCAGCAGGGGAGCAGCCTGTCCCGTCCCTGCCCTGGGCAAACTGCCCCCTCCCTTTCGCCAGGCTTGTGCCTGGGTCTGTCACGCTGGCCCCAGGCCGGCGGCGATAGCAAGGCAAGCCCCCGCGTGGAGCGAATTCCAGCCATGCCAACCACTCTCTGCCCCCCTTGCCTCTCTAGCCTGCCGCCTGGATCGCTTTGGCCCCGACTGCGCCCTGCCCTGTGACTGCGCCTCAGACAACGCTTTCTGCAACGCCCAGAACGGCCAGTGCACCTGCCTAAACGGCTACCTGGGCCCGACCTGTCGCGAAGGTAACGGCCGCGGCCGGGCTGCTGGGCCCATAGCGCGATGGCAAAGGGTGGGGCAATGCAAATAGTTGGGGTTCGTGCTGAATGCAAGGGCACTTCACTAGCACCGCGGGGCCCTTTGGGGCGTGGTCGCATCCAGGTCGAACACAGCAGCCTCGTGCAGCCAGCCACCTTGTGCCTAAGAGCCCAGCTGCAGGCGGACAGGGTGTGGCTGGGGGGGAAGCGGCGTCTCTCTCCGCTCGCGGCTGCAGCCGTGGGGAAGAGAGAACACGGCTCATGCCCCTCGTGTGTGGGGCGCACACGTGTGGGCGTGACATTTCCTGCCACGTGCATGAGCATCCTCACGTCTTTCCAGCTGGCATTCAGCGCGTGCACAAGCGGCGCAGTTTCTTACATGCTGAGGAAGTCATTCAGCCCCACAACAGCAGAACTGACAAACCTGCTTATTGGCACTAGATTTTAATCCAGCTGCCCCTCCGTAAATACAGTGGGGGAGCTGAGAGTCACGTAATTATGCCCTATCTCGTCTCTTCCTTAAGCGTATGGAAGTAACTGGCAATAGACCCGTACAATACTCTGTGGCTAGAAATGTGTCGCTGTGATGGCACGGGTTGAACCTCTCTAGTCCGGCACCCTCGGGAACTGACTGGGTCTGAACAAGAGAATTTTCCAGCCCACAGGAGGTCAATATTGTCGAGCAGCAATTGCTAGGCTTCCACTGCTCGCTGGGCGCTGAGAAGACACTGAGGGGTAAATTAGAGCTAAATAACAGCACAGAACACTGAGAGCCAGGCCTGGTGGTTGTCACAAGACCCTGAGAAACTTGGCCACACCTATGCCATGTGGCCATCCAGCTAACTACAATCATGCCGGACCAGAAAGTGCCAGCCTAGAGAGGTTCAACCTGTAGAAAAACTGCTTGAGTGGATCAGTTTACTTTTGTGGTCTTGCTACAAAGTGCGATGTAGAAAAATGCTTCTTGCACTGAGTAGGAACACGGGTCAGTGAGTTTGCTGTGGCGTTTCTGTGCGTGTGAAAGATCATTTCCAGGCGGAACACACGGTCATGAAACCCAAGTAAAACGTTTCTGTTCTGTTTACAATGCAGCACAAGGTCCCCAGGCCCGGCCCCCAGGCCTTGCATGGAAATGATGCTGCAAAACTCTTCCTAAACAAAACTGCCCAACTCCATGCCTGCCGGGCTCTTGTGAACTGTCCTTGTATGAATCATTAGGCCTCCCTGCCGGTGCCAGGCAAGCAGACACTGTGAGGAAGTGCTGGGCCCATTTTGTTACTAGAGTGCTAAAGCTCTGCACATATCTGACTAGACAGCCCAGCCTAAGCTCCTTTCCTTGCTGTTGCAGGTGGCCCGCCTCGCCTGTTGTCCAGCGAACGACGGCGCAGCCCGCCAGGTCAGTCGCAGCTCTATTCTGTGGTCCCACCTGCAGCAGCTGGGTGTCCCCTTCAGAGTCCCCTGTAACTACTTGCGCTTGGGTGGCCATCGAGGAGAGTCAGGTGCCGCCCAGCTGATTGGCAGCGTGCTCATTGGTGGTGCACATCTGCACAGGCCACAGTGCATAACAAAATTTATTCTGCAGACGAATGGAAAAAGTGAGGGGGAACACTGGTCCCCATCACACCACACTCCTATAGTCTTGGGGATTGCAGTCAAGAAGCCCACAACTGAATGGCGCTGGAACACCCCCCCTTCTGGGCCCTTGGGGTGCAAATCCAGGAGCAAACGGCTGTGGAACGACTTCTCTAGTCACCTGAAAGTATTCTGGCAAGTCAGCTACAAGGGGCGGGAGGGAGAAGGCATCGACAGGGTTACCAGAGCAGGTAGCCAGTAGAGAGCCAGCCCCCTCGGTGGAGGGCAGCCTGTGGGTAGCAGCCACCCCCAACCCTCAGCCAAGGCAACCCTATGAACCAGGCCTGCCCAGCTCTTGCCAAGGGGTGGGCCGTTTGGCGGTAGCACGATTTAGTGTTCAGCCCTGTAGGGGGTGACTGCAGCCCTACCCGGCACCTGTCTGATGCTAGCCAGGGTGCGCCTCCCTCCTGCAGCCAGCTACCCTGCAGTGAGCCAGGGCAGCCCCTCACGTGCCCTTAGAGCAACTGGCACTGACAGCCAAAGCATGAGCACAGCCCGGGAAGGGGGAGCAAAGCCCCAGCCCCCTGCTCCTGGTGGGCTGAGCAGCCAGTGATCCAGCTGCCGGGAGAGGCCAGCCCCCCAGGCTCCCCCTCCCATTTTCGCTCCCCCCCCTTCTACCGCCTCAGCCCTGCAGGAGCCCAAAGCACGCCCTCCGCAGCCCACAGCCTCAGCCCACAGCCTCAGCCCACAGCCTCAGCCCACAGCCTCAGCCCACAGCCTCAGCCCACAGCCTCAGCCCACAGCCTCAGCCCACAGCCTCAGCCCACAGCCTCAGCCCACAGCCTCAGCCCACAGCCTCAGCCCACAGCCTCAGCCCTGCTCAGCTAGGGGGCAGAAGTGCCACCGCTCCAGTGCCACAGCCCCGGACGGCACAGCCACTGGGCAGGCGCCGCGCCCAACCGCGACTCCCTGGGGCACGTACCTAGGCCTGGGGGCAGGACCACAAGAGGCTGTTTGAGCCTCCCCCATGCCCACACTGCTCTATCACTAGTGCACGAGCCAGGCAGGGGCCAGGTCTGTGTCTGACACCGAGATTGCGGTGCGAGCGGGTGAGCCTGCCTCTTCTGTAGCAGCTTTACCGCTTCATGGTGCTCCCACAGGGTCAGTGTCTGTTAGTCAGGCTGGCCGGCTGTTTCCTTGTAAGTTGACAGATCCGCCTTGGGGGAAGAGTCACCCGGCTGCCAGCAGCAGGAGCCTGTGAGGAATGATGGGAATAGTGGCAGGAAGAGGGGACGGGGTGCGCACTAAGACCCACCGAAGGCATTGTCGCCGCTTGGGGAGCCAGCGCCGAAGCCCAGGCCTTCAGTCCGTCAGGGGGTCTGTAACCAGAGCCCACCATCCAGGCCAGCTGTAGTGGCTCTGGGGTGCTACCCAGTGTTCCCTGCACACCGTGTGCTTGTGCAGCTGCTCAGAAGAAATTCAAATGCTGGCCAGGTGATTAGCAGAGCACCCCTAGTGAGGCTGTGTGTGGCTATTGGTGGTGCACATAAAATTTATTCTGCACCTGGGGTGCATAAAAGCTGCGCCTGATTGGAAAAACATGTGGTGGCACAGCACAGAGGCAGAGAGGGCGCACTGACCTATGATCCTGGGCCTCTTATGAGATCTCACCTTGGTCCCCCTTCTCTTGCAGACGTGGCAGCTAGAATACCTCACCCAGTCTCTCCCAGGGGCATTTTCCAGCCTGGGAAGCATTAGGTCGTGCCGGCACCATGGCTGAAGAAAAACAAGAGCAAGCTTGTAAACAAGCCCCTGGTCTTTCTGCAGAACCCGCCTTAGCTAATTCTAACCCCAAGGCAGTTCTATGGGCGACCAAGTACTGGGCTAGCTCCTGTCTGAAATCCAGCCTGAAGAAATCTGGGGCTATCGCACGGCTCAGCTCAGCCAGGAGACCGCGAGCACGTGTGTAAAAAGGCACGCCCCTGGATGAACTGTTGTTGGAGTCTCATGCCCAACAAAGGACCACAGAAGCATTTCATTTGTACTCTATACTAGAGAAGCAATAGTTCAAAGGTGGTTTTTCTCCAGTGGGCAATTACTGGAGTCTTGCAACTCGTCCTCTAATTGTTTTTTTTTATTGCCTGCCTGGAATTTTAATCAGAATACAATATTTATGTAAAGATATTTATGGGAGGTGTACAAATGTCTTTTCATGCTCGGTAGCCAAAGATTGGGGTGGTGCTGCATCACTTGACTTTCAAATTTGTGAGCACTCTTTAATTGTCATTTACCATTGTCCAGGGTGCTGTAATAAAAGAAACATTCAATAAGTTGGTCATAAGAGCATTTAAGTTCCAAAATGTACTGTAAGTCCTGGTTCCAGAGAGGAGCATTTGGTACTCCTGGACAACAAGGACTCTGGGAATTGTGCAAAGTTCATTAAAACTAACGAGACTTGACTTACACGGGACTGCTTCTTTCAGCATCACACGATCTAGGAAACGCAGTAGTTTGTACATAAAATAAAGGCTGCAGTAGCATAGTAGATCAGTCTTTGTAACTTCATCTTTCATCAAATGAGCAACGAGTCTTTCCAAATAAACATCTCAAGGAGAAATGGGTTAGTCACACCTCTGTTTGCCTGAGCAAGTTTAATGTTAGTGAAAACATTATTTATTTACAGATGTTCTACTTTTGAATGGATGATTGCTAGAACACAGTATTATGTTAAACCAACACGATGTGGTACCCGGTTTGGATTATAATAAAAGCTAAAGGGAAGATGGTTTCATGGCTTCATCTCTCCAAAAAACACTTAGTGCCAGGACCAAGTTGTGGATTCTGGTTGAATGCACAGGAAAAGCAATACCAAACAGTTTGCTATGTGGTGAAATTCGTACAGTTCAGTTTGTTTTTGATGGCGTCAGAACACAAGCCCCATTTCACCTTCGTCCTGGGAGTCAGACAGAAACACTATCAATGCATGAACATCAACTTCAGAAATGACACTGTCCAATAATAGTGATAGAAATGTAGCCGTGTTAGTCTGGTGTAGCTGAAACAAAAAACAGGACGATGTAGCACTTTAACAAGATGGTTTATTAGGTGATGAGCTTTCGTGGGCCAGACCCACTCCCTCAGATCAAATAGTGGAAGAAAATTGTTACAACCCTATACAGGCAGTCCCCGGGTTACGTACAAGATAGGGACTATAGGTTTGTTCTTAAGTCGGAACTGGCTCCAGATTCCGCTGCTGCCACTGAAACTGACCA